TACAGTAGTATACAGTCAATATTGCCTCAGTAAAATGAAATTACATACAGAAGCATAATTAGAGAACCTGTATGTAGAGGGCTGGTTATTTAGGATCCATATGTCTTTGAGAGAGGAGAAATTTTTTATTTAGAAAATTAGTTTACGTTTCTAACTCTAAAGAGTTTTATGTGGGAATTGTCCAACGTGCTCTTTGTCATTGATTTCTAAAGGAATTAAATTTATCTGATAAGATTTGATAAGAAAAATACTTGCTTTGAATATTTTATTCCTGAATTCATAATAATGTCATTCTTTCAGTGGTGCAGTTTGTCCCTATAAATAGCATATCTGGTATAAATATATGAAACAATCCACTTTTAGGAAAGTTGTATCTTCACTGGGCAATATAGCTGATGTCTTTATTTAAATAAGGAAAGCATTTGTCATTTCAACGAAGACAGTGACGGATTCAATAAAAGAGTGCACTCCTGGTTTATTTACCCACTCTCATTTAGGGCATGCTTGCTGAAATGCTAAACTTGCTCATTTCAGGGGTTAGCAGGTTTACAGCCTACCTGTGGGACAATTTTCAGGCATTGTGGCTGATGTGAGAAGTAATAGCTAGAAGCTAAGAGGTAGCAAACAACAGCTCACTAAAAGCTGATTCACTGTAAGGCAGCATGTGAGTCACACACACACACACACACACACACACACACGGTGATTGTGGTTAAAATCAACACCTGCAATTCCTGAAACTCAGCTGGTTTTGGTCAAGAGGATAAGGACATAACTTCAGGTACCAGAGAGAGAGGAAGATGTTGATGTTTAGGAAGATGTTAAGGTCTGATTATTGGGTTTTCATGCCCTTGACAAGGACTAAGTGTGCCCATGGCATGAAACTTTGAGGGAGCAGCTTTCCCGTGTGCTCAGGCATCTCTGTGCACTGGCTTTGAACCTGGGCTATGTTTGGAATTGGCCCGTTTTCTCGGATACTAGGCATTGAGGCCAGTTACTCCAGATGATGAAGGAAGTGGATGTCTTTAGCCTAGTACTTTTAGTAACTGACTGGTGGGAATAGCCTTGTGGGACAGTCAAGTGTTTCCTCTGTCTTTTTTGTTAGTTTTCCATGTCTTAGGTGTGAGGAAATCTGAACTTTGCTGAACTTTGCCAGCAGTAAAATCTTTTATTACCTTCTTCAGAGAAGGGCAGTTTGAGTAAATTGGTTTTATTTGTTACAATATGTCAACAGGTTTATACCTCATGGTAGAAGGCAGAAACTTTGAATGATTTCTATCTTCTACTAGCTGATATAGCACAGCAAAAATTTCTCTGCTACATTAGAGAAAATGGTTCTGGGGTCAATTCTAAGGTTGGGTGTAGGTACACAATTTGTGGTAATTGGGAGTGGGACTGTGGCAGAGCTTCATCCCTAATGGGCTACAGCTGTGAGAAGCAGGTGACCAGCATTGAAGGTAATGAGACATGGAGTGCCCAGGTGTACTGACCAACCACCAAAGGGAACAGAGGGCACACAGGTGCAATGCATGAACATGAAGGGTATAAAAGGTCGGGCTAAAGAACAAAAAGTGTAAGTGCTAGCAGCCTTCTGAAGTGATGTTTTTCTGTATAGGTTGGTGTTTTCTGAACTTGTATGATGATGCTCTGTGTATCGAGGCTGTCTCAATTGTGGCATATGCTGTGACAGTTAGGTGTATTTTGTTGCTGTGCTCCAAAGCCTGGATAGCTGTGCATATGCATAGTGTGTGGTTGTGGCACACTAGTCAAAACTGAGTGTGTTTTCATATGCTGAAATTCTGCCAAGAGGAACTTGTAATTCATTCATGGAGTTTTTGATGGAAAAAGAAAGACAGGCAAAGCAATTTTGAGGGGTTAAGAATATTCTTGATCTCTACTGAAATGCATAATTTGGACTTTAGGGGGACTATATTCACAGCAGGAAATCGCAATCAACACAGGCAAAAAATATATATATGAACAAAAATACAGAATAAATACCAAAAAAGGGGCACCAAAAACTTTACATAAAGCAGGTAAACTTATGGAACTAATTTTTGTGCTTTTTGTAAGCTTAATTTTCTCTGAGGTGAAGATCTTCTGGACCATCTAAGTGTATACTACAGATGAGACTAAAGAAATCCTGAAAAAATATTTTTGGAGGCAGGGTTGGAGAGAAAAGAGTAGAGAAAAGAAAGGGAGGAAACAGTAAGTCCAAGATTGAAATAAATATAGGATATATTACTAGCTGTAATATTTTTTTCAGTTTCTAGAAAATGAAAATTACTAAAATGGAAGAGAATGAAGAGACTTGATGTCGGATGATGGCTGCATAGTCTTAGCCTATGAATGAGAGTTGCATTATTTAATCAAGAAAAGATAATTTGATCTGCCCTAACTCTCAGTGGAAAACCCAGCAGAGATCCCATTCCCTTAGGAATTCCAAGAAAACTTGTCAATTGTTCTCTTATTCAGAGTCTAAGTATTCTCCTACTCTGGATTTACACATGAAGACTTTCATTAACTGTCTCATATGAAGTGACTGCAATTCATACTTTCCTAATTATTGTCAGTACCCAAGTGCAGGTACACAATATTTAAAGGGAATTGTGGCAGTTGCTCACAAAACTGAGCTACACAATTTAAAAGAAATGAGACCAGGCAATTTGTGTGCTTCTGTAACAACCAAATGATTGAAAATAGTAAAGAGAATCAATCATCTGAAATAATTTTCTTGAACACGCACACCAGACAAATGAACTTACCTGTAGAAAAAACAAGACAAGCAATCAAAACAGGATTAGAGCAGAAACACATGCTATGTGGAAAATCTCTAGTGATCGTTTGTGCTTTCAGGCTTGCTTTGACCACCTTTGGTCATTCTTGCAGTTCTAAGAATTTTATATTTACCCAAAATTCCTGGGGCTTGGTTTTCTGTGGTATTGATTTTAGTTGGTTCTTAGGTGGTAGCATGTACAGGTTTATTTTCACAGAGAGACAGAAGGATGGTTCAAAAGATCTGTATCACTTCAAATTTAATGGGAGCAGAGGAGCATTTTCTATCAGAATTACAGGCTAGCTGGGACCCTGTACTATAAATGTGAAAAAGTAGAAAGTATTCTCTAATTTCAAGTTATTACACTAATGATTAGTATCAACACACAGATAAGTCTTGCTGCAAGGCAGAATGTCCTTGAATTTGCATGTCCATCTCCACCATAGCTATCTGGCTCTTGGTAAGAGCAAAATTTCAAAGTCAATTAAAAATACTACAGTGTTCCTGTTTTGTTTGGTCTTTGTCAACTGCAACTCATACTTGCAACTTTTAACTGCAAAAAAAGACTAACAGTCCAAGATAATAAATCAAAACCCTGGTGGTCTACAATATTTGCCTGACTTCAGGGCTTTAAGCAAAATATTAGAGCTCCTGGTAGAATGCTGTGAAACTATTTAGGTATGTGAAACTATTGTATTATCTATCACAGGGTCTCACATATGGCACTTCTCCCTGTTAAGAAGTTCTATGAAAATCTTAAGAAATGGCATCATATGACTGTACATGAGCCCCATGTTTTAATTCTATCACTTGTGGTTCTGTTTCTGGCACCTTGATCCAGATTAGCAACTTGTGAAATTCATGAGAGAAAGTTCATTTTTCACTGAATAGGAGTGGGAATGAATTTTCTGTGACACAGCCTTCAAAAACAGGTGCTGTTTTTTTCTGATTGTGTTATTTTGAGGTTATCTTGGCCAAAAAGACTTGGATATTAAATAGTGGCTTGAAAATGAAGCATGTGTAGTTGTTTGGCTACACTTTAAAATCCCAGAGGTCAAGCTAGACTTTCTTTTGCTGATGAAGGTATTCCTTTGTTTGTGCCTGCATAGATTTACAAATGGATTATATAGAATATTTAAGAGAAAGAGGGAAAGATGGTTACAGTCATTCTCTTAAACCCTCATGACATCTTCAAGTATTTAAAATATGTCAGACATTTAAGAATAAGGCTATATGACTGCCATATTTCCAATTTACTTAAAATATGATTCTTTGTCTACTTTGTTATGTGACTGTAGTGCAATTATACTGTGATATGATTTTCTAGAATATGGAATAATTGCAACACATTATTTTCTTTTAAGGAATTCAATGAAAATATAAGAAATATGACTCAAATTAATGACATCTGAACTTGGCAAGTCTGTGAACAACTGAAGGTAAGGACATAAAAGAATCAGGACCCCTTTTCAAAATGTGTCTCTGATGTATCCATAATATTGCAGCACATGGGAAGACAAATTTAAAAAAAAAAACTTAAAAAAAGAAAACCAGATTCTAAAGATTGTTATTCCCTCCTTAAAACCACTAAGTCCTCATCAGCATCCTGATCAGTAGCTATTGATACAGTTGAGAAAAGTTGCTTAACAACCTATTTTGTGACTGCTCCTTAGGAAAATCATAAATAAGAAAAAGAATTGTAGCAATGTCCATCCTCCTTCTATGAACAGTGGGACAAATTTTCTACTTGGAGGCACACCTGACATCCTGGGGACCTTTAGCAAGAATTAGTCTGCATGCTGCATGCGTTTCATGTGAATGATGCTTAAGAAAGGAAGAATTATTGGGAATGCTAGTTTTCATTTATTAATTTAAAGAAGGATGTTCTTTTAAAACTTCTGGAGCATTTCAGGTACAATTATTCAATTGTTTAAGAGACTCAAGTAATTGTTTAAGAGACTCAAGTAATTTTGGTTCAGGTCTGTAGGCCCCTCTTAACATGTTGTATCAGTGACCATCTGTAAAGTACTATGAAAATGTACAACATTATATAAATGCTGTGTGTCCTAATTACTGACTTTCCACTTTACCTGTATTTGTACATTTACTCTTTTGAACAGGAAATACAGAAAGATAAAATAACTGTGCTTCAAAAGAGAATATGTTATGAAGAGATGACTTGTTTAGAAGATTTCTTAAACACAGCAATAAAGAAAATGCTTTATCTTAGAACAAAAGCATGGTGACTCCAGAATATTGCATCACCAAATGAGGAACCCACAAGCAAGACATAACTTATACTGTAAGTACTGCTACTAAAGACAAATACAATGTTAAGCTTTAATGGTTTTAATCAGTCGCCATTACAGATTTTTCTGGATTCTTCACCTTCATTTTTAATGATCATATATTCTTTCTGGAGTGTTTGTTCAACTCTGTCCTCTGATTTCAAGATTTCAATCCCTTTCCTGAAAGGAAAAACTTCAAGATCAATTGGGCAAGTTTTGTTGCATATTCCTGCACTTCAGGTCATTCCATTATCTTTTCCAGTTAATCTGTCCTATTTTTTTTTTAAACTTCAATTCTTCTGTTTCACATCTGCCTTGTTGTTTCCATTCCTTCCCAGATTTTAGTGATTTCAATGGAAATAATTTTGGCAAGTTTTGGTCCTTCTCACTTCACAGCATTTCATCTCAGTACCCTTAGTTGTAGGCACTCCATTTCAATTTTTCAGGATTTTTCAGTTTCATTATTGAATGACAGTAAGTCTCTTTTGGTGTGTTTGTTCAACTCTATCCTCCAATTTCAACATTTCAATGTGGATTAATTGGTCAAGAATTGGTACATGTTCTTGGCCTTCATGTCATCCCTTTGGCTTTTCTTTTTTTCGCATCGTGTCTTTTTTTTTTTTGTATTTCAGTTCTTTGTCTCTTCTGTCTCTTTGTCTGTTTTTTCTTCTCTGATTTTAAGGGTTTCAAATAGAAGAATTTTAGCATGTTTTTGGCTACTTTCCTACACCCAATTTCATCTCAGGAATTGTTGAGTAGATGTTGAGCCATCTTCAGGTGGTGAACTAGAATGCAGAATTAGATTAATTAAATTTTAGGAAATGTTGGAATGATATGCATATCAATTTTAAATATGTGTGTCCTCTTTTTGTTGATGGGTTTCCTTTGAAATGTCAATTTTGTAGGAAGGTCTTTTTTTCTCACAACTCTTGAGTATATATTTTCTTTCCTATATCTGCATGGTATTTAGGAAAATTAGACCAGTTATCCAGTATATTATTCTTGAGAATGTTTATTTGGGAAGCTGGAGAGATCTGTAACTTTACCCTGACCACAAATATCACTTTTATATTGTGCATATGTTACATGTAGCAGTGTGATGATTAATTTGGAACTTGGAAATTAAGAAACTGGTAAATGGAAGTGTTCTTTTCCTAGAAAATGACACTTTAAACATTACTTTCATTTAAATGCCTTAATGTGAATAATTACTATCGCAGTCAGATATTGGAAGACTTTGCATTTTTATGTGGGAATTATCAGCAGGTATGTAAGTTTGGACTGGAAAGTTTGCTCAGGCCCTGAGGAAATCTCAGTCAAAATCTCAGAAAAAATTAATGCTTCAGTGCTTTGACCACATGAAACAGGAAAACCTGTTTGCAGATTCCTATCAAACAAGGGATGCTAATTTGTACTGTAGTTTCTGAGTTAGACATGAGCTACTATAAGAAGGCGGAGGGTTCAGAATATTTCCCTTGCTTTTTTGAGTTTTTTTTTTTGCCTTTGCCCCCCCGCTCCCCAGATTTATAAAACATCTGCTTGTCCAGTGTTATGTTTGTGATTTTTCTTTCAAAGCAGGAATTTTCTCCTCCTGCTTGTTTGCCTGCAGTCCACACAGAGCATATAAGGTAAACACAATCTTGAGTAATAAACAGCCTTGGCACAAAGAGCTTACTACCTTCACAGCAGAACCTTTAGTGCCATGCAGCAGAACTCTAGTCTCTGATGCAGTTCTGTTGATTGCAGAGGTTTTTGTCTTCTTTTGAATTGCTGTCTGCTGATCAGAATTTCTGAAAGTGAACTAGAATTTTTCTTTCTTTTGGATGTTTAATCATGCTGAAGTGATGCCTTCCAAAATACTTAACCCTCTTAACTGAAGGATCGCTTCTCCCTGAAATAAGAGAACTGAACCTTAGACTGATTTTACTGCTTTAAGGTATGTACCACAGAGATGGATGTTCAGTCTGGAGTTACTGATTAAAAAGTCCCAGCCTGCTGGTGATTTCTCCTTGTTGTACTTCCTCTCCTGCTCTGTTATCTCCGAGTTATCAGTGATTACATACTTTTCTCTAGATTTAGTTTAACACTGCTTTCTCAAGCAATGTCAGAGGCTTTAGATAACCTGTCAATCCTGAGTGTTGAAGCTGAAGAATGAGCAGTTTTACTTCTTTAGGAAGATAATGTACTCAGTCTTTCTTTTTTTAAATACTGAAAACAGTTGTTTTCTATCAGGTTTTTTCCCAGGATTCTAGAAAGTATGGAAAAGAGCTGAGGTAAGTTATACTGAAGTACTAAGATTGCTGTAGCATCCAAGGGTAGCTGTTCCACTGCTTGAGGCTACACTATAAAATCATGACAAAAGAATACACTTGCAAAGTCTAAAGGAGATCTCAGGCAGGTTAAATGTAATTACATAGCTAGAATTCTCAGGACCCACCTGGGAAGGAAACTGTTGCTCACCATTAGCAGGGTGCCAGGCAGGAATTGTGTTTATTTACTAGATAGAGTAACCTACAGTGCAGCCATAATCTTAGAGTGATAGAGTAGTAAAGAGAAAAACATACTGTGTGAGTAATTTCCAACCTAGTAATGAAGCATAATGGAATAGAGCCATCATGCTGTATTATGCAATCTGCATTTTATAGAATGTGTGAATATAAATGCAGTTATTTGCTACCTATTGGGAGAAATTGCACCAACTTAATGTTCAAAACCAAAAAGTATTTTTCAAAAGTAAAGTGAAGGAAGTAGCTACTCTGTCTTCTCTGAAATGGAAGTGTCATATAGGAGCTTGGATTTGTGGAACATAGGCCTTTTCTTTATCTTATCTGTGGCACTAAATCTATTGGAAAATATAGGAATAGATCTCAAAAGAAAGTTTCTGCACCATAGGAATGTGGGGCTAAATACCATAAAACTCTTTAAATACGAAAAACAAAATACAGACAAACCAACAAGATCAGATGGCATTTGAAGTTTGTGTGTAATGAACATTTAATATGTACATCCTTAGGGTTATTGATGCTATTTTAGTATTCCCATGATAGTTGTTTCCTGAAAAGATGTATTTATTCTAAAATGAAAAAGGTGAACCAAGCACAGAAATAAGAAAAAATTATAAACAGTCTAATAGCACAAATGGCAACTCAATGTCTTTCTCTGAGGATGCTGAGGTAAAAGTCTTTAGGAGAATAGAAGAAAAAATATTTCTGGTATTTCTAAATGCCTTAGAAATAGGTATTATGTTGGAAAGTGGAGGAAAAAGAGTAAAAGACTGCCCTAGAACTGGCAGTCGTTCTAATTGTTCACCTTGCAAATACTTTTTAGAACATCCTAGATCGTGCTCCAGCCAAATGAATGATGTTTTGTTCCTGTAGCCTCTGGTTTCATTGGTCTTCAACCTTTCTAGTTCTCTAGATTAGTTAAGGAGCTGCATCAATACATACAAATATTATTTAAATTTATGTATGCTTAGTATGTGTGTTTGATGTTTCTCCTGGGTCTTGGTGAGAATTCTGCTTGGTCAAGATCTTGAATTTGGAAGTATACCAAGTGCAGGAACAGGGGAAAGCTGAAAAATGTCTGAAAGAAGATCATGTGTCAGGGTTTGGAAAAGATTGAGCAAAAAAACAGATGGAAATTAACTCCTAGTACCTGTCAAGTATGAAGTCAAAAAGATCTGCACTACTGACAAAGCATGTTTGAGGATTTGAGAAGCATCATGTTGAGATTAAGCAGACTTTTCACACTTTTATTTTAATATGATTGATTGACATAGATAAAATAGATGGTAGTTTAACTTGTTTGTATAACCACTTCCCATCTAAACTAATCTGCAATTAAAAGAGTGGATTTACTTCCTACATCCACTTTTGGAAGAGAAAGGAACCCTCTCTGCTGGCAGGCAAATTGACATAACATTCAACAGGGTGTAATGCTGAAATCTTCAGCATGATGTGGTAAGCCACAAAATACCATGAAGACAAATACCTTTTTTTGCTTCCTTCCACTGTTTTATTTATTACATCCTTCTTTATTTTTCACTGGTGGAGAGGAAAAAGTACATGATTTAAAGTAGTTTTGACCACTTTTAAGCAGTTTCAAGTTTTGAGACAATACTTTCTACATGAAATATTACAGTAAATGCATAGAGTTGTCCATCTATAATTTTCTGACTTAAAGAGAGTCTGTCTTTCTAAAGGGAGCTCAGAGTGAGCTGGGAGAGGGATATTTTTATTGCTGCAGTATTTCCTGTAAAGATAAAATGCATGTTCACAGCCCAATGTCATAAACCATAGTCCAGGTTTCCACAGCCCTACTTCACTTGTTTTTTTTCTGATTTCTCTTTCATAGGCCCAGGAGTTTAGGCCAGGAGCTAAGAATTCTTTTCCTAACTGTTCTGCCAGCTCATGTTGACTAACAAAACCCAAAAAGTTTGGGCAGGATCTGTTTCCCGTTGATATAAACAATCCAAAACCTTTGGGCAAAATTGTCCAATGTGATTTTTCAGAATAAGTACTGAGGAAAAAATTGCCTGTGACTTTTGAGTTTTGGCCTTCAAAAGCACTGCTGCATGAGCACTCTCCTAACCAAAATCAGTGATAACAGTTGTGGGACACCAGCCCACCTTCAGTGTTCAGCTTCAGGTCCAGTCCTTTGGAACGAGATGGAGTTTGGCTTTATTCGGCCGTTTATTGCTTGAAATGGCATGACCAGGGCTGAGTGGAGTAAGTGGATGCTCTGTTCTCCATGAACGGCTGTAACTGATAGACAAAGCGCTGCCCTGCAGGTGTGTGAGGTTACAGTGTCAAAGCAAGGGGTTCTGGTGGTGGGAACGAGGTGTCCCAATGCTCCAGCAGTGGCTGTGATGTTCCTTATGAATTCTTATCAGGCTGAACAAAGACATTGGGCCACACGTGTGGGAATTCTTGTACTTTGTTGTGCAGTCGCCATAACTCCAGCACCTTGCCCACCGTGTAGACACAAAAGCTGTTGGCTCACTAGCTCTTACATT